GTTTAACCCTCTCTAGGATGAATCTGTTTTCTTGGCAGTCCATGGTACATTCAATACTCTTCTCCAGCACCATAGCTCAAAGGCGTCAATTCTCCTTCTGTCCTCCCTAGTCATTGTCCAGCTCTCTGATGCATAACAAGTGATTGCAAAGATCATGGCCTGTATCAGGCGCACCTTTGTCTCCAAAGAGACACCATTGCTCTAGAGTACTTTAGAGAGGTCCCTAACAGCAGACTTTCCCACTGCAATAGAAAGTTTAAAAAACTGACCTGTGCTATAGTTGGCCATATAGCCTATGTTTTTTCAAACTAAAAAGCAATAAATGTTTATCAAAGGAAATATGGACTCCAAAGAAAGCATCAAGAAGATAAAGGAATCCCTCGTAATTCTCAAACCAAGAGGGATGTATTTCCAGTGTCTTGTTTTTCCTGTCTCTAGAAACTTTTCCCCTCTTATATGGAAAGAGAGTTTTTTCCAAAGTTACTATTCACTTTTAAAACTTCTAAATATATAAATATCTATTTGATCTTATTTAATTACAAGTGATACTATTATTGGAAAAGAAGAACATTCAGTTCCAAGTGGATGTCGATGACTTAATCCAAGGTGACAAAATTGTGAAAGCTAACTGAAGACTCAACAGTGGCAATCAACAACAACAACAACCGCCAAGGACAGAGCCAGATCCACTCCCCAAGTCCCAGACATGCCTAGAATGTCAGGCAATATTGTACATAAATAGCATTCAGTTAATGTATTCTTAATGATCATATTCATAACACCTGAAAATATTTTATTCAATTTAGAATAAAATCTAAAAATGTTCAAAGCATTACTTTATTTTAAATAACATGCTAATATTTTAAATAGCCTTTTAAATAACATTTCCTTAATAAAAATCAGAAAGAGCACTTACCTTCCAGCGGACAGGGTTTAGTGCCTTAATCTGTTCATTCATGTCCTCATCTACATTGAAGCGATTAATGACAGAGTTTATCTTGAATGCCACTCTGTAGTCCCTGCACCATGCCCTCAGCTTTTGAAGATTTTCAACGTGGTTCTTCTTCCCTTGACCACGACCAATAAAGACATTCACTTGCTCATCAAAGCTATCACAAGAGATAGCGAGAATGTCCAAATATTCACCTGAGGAAAAGGGAAGATGAAAGATAAAAAGTCTAAAATCAAACTTCTTTTGGTAGTTTATAAATCTATATGATTAAATATATCTGGCTTGACTCATAATTTTTAAAAACGGATTTTTTTTCTTATACTCACAAATATCAATAAAGAGTGAATGATATTTGGTGCTAGTATGAAATAATCATAAAATATACAAATAACAAGTTGATACAGGAAATTATTTCTTTCTTAGTGACTGAGATAGTTAATAGTTTTCGTTTAATTGATTCCACAGTCAACACTCTTGGTCAAAGCAGCCAGGAAATCAAGAGACGAATTGCACTGGGAAAGTCAGCTGTGAGTGAACTCTCAAGAGTACTGAAGAGCAACGACGTCAAGCTGGAGACTAAGGTGCGTCTGACTCAGGCTATAGTCTTCACAATTACATGCTATGCATTGGAGAGTTGGATGGTTAATAGGGATGATAGAAAGAGAATTAATGCCCTTGAGCTGTGGTGCTGGAGAAGAGTGTTGAATATACCATGGACTGCTAGGAGAACAATCAGGTTTGTCCTGGAGAAGGTGAAGCCGGAATGCTCCTTGGAGTCAAGGATTCTGAAGCTTCGTCTGACATATTTTGGGCATGTTACAAAGAGGGACTGGTCCTTGGAAAGGGACATCATGTTTGGGAGAGTGGAGGGACAGCGAAGGAGAGGAAGACCCTCGATGAGATGGATCGATTCTGTGAGTGGAGTGGTGACAATGAATGTGTTTGAGATGGCGAGGTTGGCACAGGATAGACCGGCATTTAAGGCTCTTGTACATAGGGTCGCTATGAGTTGCAAATGACTCGATGGCATATAACAACAACAAAAAAACTGTGATACACATATATAAGTTTTGTTAAATGTCCTAGACTCAAGGTTCTTTATGTAAAATTTCAAGAACTTAAAATGTAATCCAAAGGCTTTTGATTGGGAATTTTTTTAGAAGTAGATAGCCAGGCCTTTCTTGCTAGTCCGCCCCAGTCTGGACACCTTATTGGAAGAAACTTCTGCATCAAAACAGCTCACATGTTTCTGCTGACAGGTAGGTGCAGCTCACATGAGGTGCATTGTCAAGGAATCAAACTAGGGTGTCACATATAAATTTCAAATCCTACCACTGGCTATCATTATTCTCCTCACATGTATATGTGTATATGAGCATATCAATATAAATAAAGGCTATTTTAAATTTGTTCTTGCATTGAAACCATACAATTCTGAACACAGTTCAAAGATGAATATTTCTGTCTTGGAGAGGATGAAACCAAGTTTCTCCTTGGAGGCTAGGATTTTGAAGTTTTGTCTCACATACTATGGGCACATGGCCAGGAAGGGCCGGTCCTTGGAGAAGGACGTCATGCTTGGAAAGGTGAAGGGACAACACAGGAGAAGAAGATCTCAGATGAGATGGATTGATACAGTAACTGCGGCAATGGTGCTAGGTGTGTCAGAATCAATGAGACTGGCTCAGGACAGGGCAAAATTCAGTGCTGTTTTATATAGGATTGCTGCAAGTCGCAGGTGACTTAACACACATAACGACAACAACAACTATACATTTACTACTCTTTCAGACATCACACAAATAAAACTGATCTAAGACAGTTTCACAACTGTTCTAAAAGAACACTAATGCTTTTGACAAGCTCACTGGTCTTTCCTTCATATTTCTTTTATATTTTATTAATCATATATTTTTTTTTAAATACAGACCCTATGATGTCAGGTAATGCTACATTAAGTGCTGAGAAAACCAAGATAAAGGCAAGTCTGGTGAAGGAACCATAGTTAAAATTGTTCCATTTCTGCATCGCAACATGTTAAGAGATGTGATAATAGATTGTTACTGGAGCACAGAAAATCTTGTTAAGAATTCTTTTCATTTGGCCTCCACCTCACTGGTTTTTGTAATCTTAGCTTCCGTTCAATCTTTCTTAATGTTTTAGAAATTTTCCTTTGTTGGTTAATGCTGTCCATCTGTAATTCAAACACAGGCTTTCACTACAGCCCAGTCACTCAGTGATCATGCCTCTGCTCTTGACTGATTTTGAATTTTTCTACATATTGTCACATTCTTTTCTCTAAAAAATTCCCAAGTTTTTCAAACTCTTGAGAAATTTGGGAGTACTAAAAATTATCCTATTTGGGGACTATTTTTATATTGCTTTCTACTTCTCAGTGAAAACTGGGGAAAGCCTGATCTGAAGGTCATAAACTGAACTTCCGGACAAACAACAAGATTGGATCTTGTACATTTATAAAGTATGTTAATTTTTCTCACCAGTATTTAAACTCTGATGGTTCAAGTTCCTCCTTATAAAGATGGGCAGTGGCCTGTGAAAATTTACAGCCTCAGCAGCCCACAAGAGGGTCTCTGAGTTAGAACCAACTCGACTGACAGTGAGTGAATGGTTAAGCTCCATAGACTGTTGTTACTATGTGTTGTTGAGTTGAGTGTGACTGATAGAGACCCTATAAAGAATAGATCTGAACCATGTGTCATAATGCAACCAATTGCATAATGCAAATTGTAGAGGAGTCTTCCTCTGATCATGATGCCATAGTCCTCTTCATGGAGTCCAATCTTTAAATTATTTGCTCAAGTATACGGATTGACTAGGTATGGAGAAAAGATGCAGCCCTGATGCATACCTGTCCTGAATTTAAACCATTCCATGTTATGTTCCTTGTTCTGTTAGAAAGTAGATTCTTGTTCTATGTATAGACTTCGCTTGAGCACAATTAAAAGTTATTGGGTTACCTTTCTTCTACTCAGTGCTAGCCATATTTTGCTATGATTCATACAGCCTTTGCATGGTCAATAAAACACAGTATCAGGAGACAGACATTCTTCTGATATTCTCTGCTTTCAGCCAGGGTCAGCAATGATATCACTCACTGGTGTCATGACATCTTCTAAACCCAGTTTGAAATTCTGGAATTTCCCTGTCAAATTATTGTATATGCCATTTTTAAACAATCTTCGGCAATATTTTGCTTGCAAGTGAAATTTATTATATTATTGCTTTCAAGTGACATTTATCATATTATTTGATAATTTCCACATTCTGTTCTATTATCTTTGTTGAAAATAGGAAAATCTCTTCCAATCAGTTAACCAGGGAACTGTCATCCAAATATTCTGGCATAGACAGGTCAGCACGTCTAGGGTTGAATCTGTGTATCCTGTACCTCATGCCAAGCACCAGCATCAACAATCCAGCTGAGGACGTATGTTGTTGTTGTTGTTATGTGCCGTCGAGTCGTTTATGACTCATAGTGACCCTATAAACATGGTAAATATTCCCAGCGAGGACCCCATACTGCTGAGTTACCACAGGCCTCAGCTGGGGCCAGAAACAAAAAGGGTGTCCTGTTCTATGATATTTGTATGTCTGATTGTCTTTATGATTTGCTGTTAGAGGTACAACACCTGTCTGTCTATTCATTATATTGGGATTGATTTTCAGCTCTGGTGAACTAGTACTAGGATGCTATGCTGCAATCCTGAGGGTTCAAACCGACCAGCATTTCTACAGGAGACTGGGCAATCTACTCCTGTGCAATTAACTGGTTCTGAAAACTGGCTGGAGGGTCAGTTCTGACTCAAAGGCACAAGAGCAATTACTTTATAGCTAGATGTATATGTCCTTGCTTATCATTTGCTCTTATTAGTACAGCACTTATCTGTCAATCTTCTGTATTGGTGTAATTTGTGGCTTGCTGTGTTGCTTAAAGCTATGACAGTGATGTTTTAAATGCCAAAAGGGTCACTCATGGTGGACAGATTTCAGCAGAGATCTTAGATTAAGACAGATTTGGAAGCAGTATTGGCTATCCATTTCCGGTGTAACAGGGCTTTAAAAACTATATGAACAATGGAGGAACGTAGGTATTAGACGTAGAATTCATATGGGAAGTCACTAAAAAGTGAAGAGGAACAGTTACAAAAACCCCAATAATAATTGTAATGTGGAAAGAACAAAGTATGAATTTTGTAAAAATAAAAAAGAAATGAATGAAGATTAACGTTCTAGGCCTTAGTGCTCAGAGACGGACTGGCATGGGCCGCTTTGAATCAGACAAACACATGATCTACTATACTGGGAATGAAAAACTGAGGAAGAAGGACATAGCATTCATAGTTCAAAAAAACAATTCCAAGATCAAAGTACAATATTGTGGGTGATAGAATGCTATCCATACGCATACAAAGAAGACCTGTTAGCACGACTATTATTCAAATATATGCACTAATAACTAAAGACAAAGAGAAGGAAATTGAGGCTTTTTATCAACTTGTGCATCTTGAAATTGAACAAATGTGCAATTGAGATGCATTAGTAATTATTAAATCCACAGACTAGCCTCTCCCTAAAGCATGCACAAGCTATGTTTTAAAGGAAGTCTCGCGAAAGCTCTGGTACCTTAGTGATAAGGAGTTGTGCTGCCAACTCTAAATGAAGTATCACCATCATGAAAGAGAGGAGGAAGATCCTCAGTATGGTGGAGTGATGCAGTGACAAGAGTGCGCTCAAATAAATCAGAAATGGTGAGGATGGTACCAAAGGGGAAGGATTTTGTTTTGTTCTACATGGGATTACTAGAATAAGATTGACTGCCAGCACTCAACAACATTACAGTAGTTAAATTAAGGCCAGGTTTTGGTACTTGCCAAAATTAAATATTCCCTGGTAGCCTGCTTGATAGTGAGTTGTGCTGCCAACCCAAAGATGGGCTTTTTGAATCCCCCAACCGCTTGCGTGGAAAAACATTGGCCCTCTCCTCCAGCCTTTAAAAACTCACTAGAGAATTAGCTGAGTAAGTTAGAACACAACCACAATAAGTTGAGGAACTTATTTATTTAGAGCCCACAGAGGTGTAACTGATGTAACTCTATTGCACAATTTGAAGAAAGATTAGAAGAAGCAAGGTTGTTTTTCTTGCCTTTCTCTTTTTCCGATAAGCCTGGCCCAGAACTCTGAGTGGAAGGAAATGAAGAAAAAAAAAATAAATAATAGTTGCAAGAACGGAAATGCCAACTAGTGCAATTTACCATAATTTTTGAACCACCTCTCTCGAATCAGGCTTCCGTTGCTCACAATGCTGACACTTGGGAGCAGAAGCTCCACTTTGCAGAACTTCACCAGCTTGCCCAGGTATTCTCCTCGGTCATGAAGAAACGGCTCTCCTCCTGAAAAGTTTATCTTCTCCATACCTGTGAGGAGAGAAATGCCAAATTTGTTTTCCGTTTGCTTACTCATTTTTCAAATTATTATTTAAATGCAACAAAAGTACTTTTCCTCTCAACATAGAACAATAAAACAAGAATTTCTCCTTGATCTCCAATCCTAGTTCCTCCTCATCAATGCCACTGTATGGGAATTGTT